GCCACACTACTTCATGTGGCTGCGGAAGCAAATCACTTTTACTTTGTAGAGGAGTTGTTGAAACTACTGAGTGAAAAAGATTTGGAACTTCAAGATCACAAAGGTAACACTATAAAAATCGAGGAAATTATCTTGCTCTTGTCACTCAAACTACATGAATTGACACTCTGTTTATAAAATAACAACCATTACATGACATTTAATTAACATAGTAAATTGACATAATAACATTAACCCTTCATATATTTGATAGTTATACATAATAATGTCTTATAATGCATATTTCATCTTTGAACACACATTAACAACTATTTATTTTCTAATTATTATGTCTATAACAAGTTTAGGAAAATGAACCAATAAAATTCAATTGTGTTACTAGAAAACTGTCAATACTTAATAACAAAGATAGTTTCGGACCATGTAATAATTTTCTCATAACATTTATTCATTTTGACGTTAAACTAAGAATATTTTTCATCTTTTACAATTTCGTCTAATATATGTACATCAAGATCATAAATGAGGACACCACATTTTATTCATTAGAACATAGAAGGGGAGAAGAAAGTATATTTCTTCATACTCTAGAAATATAGCTACTATGAGATTACTGATTTCATGGTCCTTATTTCGTCATATATATAACCAGATTGTGAAACTATTTGTGATAGGTAAGAATCCAACTTTGGCACTCCAACTTGTGAGGTGTCTCTGGGAAACCCTTCTTGAGCTTGATTGCGAAGAGATACAAATGAAAAGAGTGATAAGTGAACCATCTCAAGTAATATTCATAGCCGCAGAAGTTGGAAACTTTGAGGTTTTGGCTGAGCTAGTTAGATCTTACCCGGATCTCGCATGGGAAGTTGATGCAGAAAATCGAAGCATCATTCACATAGCTGTTTTACACCGCCATGCAGCCATATTTAATCTAATAAATGAAATAAGAACTATCAGGAATTTTGTAGTAACATACGAGGATGATGACCAAAACAATTTACTGCATTGTGCTGCAAAATTAGCACCACCAAGCCAACTTAACTTGGTGTCTGGAGCTGCTTTTCAGATGATGCACGAGCTACGGTGGTATGAGGTATCTCATTAATTTCTATATCTCATGCATGTGGCCCAA